ACACACATATATATATATATATATATATATATATATATATATATATATATGAGGGTTCAATTGAAAACCGATTTTCGATTGTGAACCGGGTTACAAAAGAGAGCATGACACGTGTTTCCAACCTTCACGGGTTATTCATCATGAATAATATATCATTCCTGATGAATGTGTGTTATTCAACATGAATAATGAATAAATTTTAACATGGATCACGATCGTGTATTATTCATCATGAATGTTGTATCATTTATCATGAATAGTTCATGAACTTCACCTTCGTTATTCACAATGAATGTGGATGCCCGGGGAATGTGACGTGCTCTCTTGTCCTTCGATACATAGTCGAAAACCGGTTTGCAATTGAACTTTTTTTTCTCTCTGTCAGGCAGCCATGTGACGCATAGTTGTAATAAAGGGTTGAATGCGTGCTTACTATGTACCACGACACTCCCACTTTCCTATCAACACTACTAACATGGACCTTCACGGCAATATCAACCCTTCATTTCATTATGAAAATCTTACCTAATAAGTGACGATGATCACCCTTACCCAATTAATTCTTGCCGACAATCGCTTATCCTGTTAGCATTGGTAAACGACCCCTAAACGTCCATAACTTACATATTTACCACTTTCACAATGTCAAAAGATACTATTTGAAACCTGTCTATTCTTTTAGAGTAGTATAAGAAGTTGTAGATGGTTGTTATTATGTTGGATGCTTGAATTTAATATAAGGAGACCAACAATAAGTGCATATGTGTTGGGTAAAATGCTTTGACAACACTCTTTTATTGAAACCCAATGTAGTGGTGGTCATCGACAGGTGGAGATATGTGAAGAAGAAAGGGAAACAATGGATGTGGAAATACCTAATATAATTCTTTTAGGGGCCCGTTTACCAACGCTTACCAGGGTAGACACTTACCAAGTCGCATTACCTTACAAAATGAATATGGCAAGAACCAAGAATCTCACCCAGTAAGAGCAAAGGCAAGGACGAGAGTCTTACCTGGTAATTAAGTAAAGACGACTACTCTTAGCACAAATTAGCGCCTTACACGGTAAATTTTTGCATACGATACCGTTTTGGTGGACTAAAAGCTTATCTGATAAGCAAGTGATAGTGTTGAATTGTATTAAACGTTTACCCAGATAAGCGTTTGGTAAACGACCCTTTGGTGAGCTCCTATAATAATTGGTGAGGACGTATTTGAGGGGATGGGTTGTTATTAATTTATATTTATTATGAGTTGTCAACGACGCAAATACCTAAACTACCATTTCATATTTAGTTAATAAAATAGATTAATTATATTAAATGAATAGTTTATGATGGATTTCACATATTTTACAGTTCTCAAATGATCAAGTCCAATAAAAAAGGTAAAAATCCTCATATTTCAGTACAAGTAGAGGATTCATGTTGAATATATATATATAGACACACACACACGCATATATATACATATATACACACACATAAACTCCAAAATCTTCATTTCAAAGAATCTGCGAACATGCATTCATACAATAAACTGACGAAAACGACTGATCGGTCCCCTCATGTTAAATCATTGAGTATGTCGGTAAGAGATTCGTCTTGACAACAAATTTGATTAATTTATCAACAATTGTTTTCATATCAGACGGAAAACATTTGTTACATTTTTTATGAAGCAGCAGCATTTGTACACAAATAGCCAATTGATCCACCTGAAACTCAAAAGAGAGAGAGTACTACTTTACCATATACCAGTTTATAGATCAACGCCCTCGTCTAAGCCTTTTGAACTGATCATCACATTCGAATCTATTTGCTTGTCGAATTTCTTTTTCCTTCGATCTTCAAACTCTTGAAATCCTTCCATCTGAGACCAAATGCTATTCGTTTTTAGTCACGTTTAACCACCATTTTTGTTTTATTAATTTAGATATGTACGCTAAAACCGAAAATTAAAATTTTACCTGTTGGAATTGATCCATAGATATGGGATTGCCATGCAATGATATATTCTGCAGAGCCTTGCAATCTTTCAATAAACTTGGAGGAATCTGATGCAGAAATTCATCAAAAACAAAGACATCAAGATATGTAAAGATTAATTGTAATTCAAGTGCCAGCTCAAACCTTTTTTTAATTGTTTTGTATCAATCAACACATAAATGAATGATATGCTGCATTTCTCTTGATGGCTTGAATTCATGAGAACAAGTTCAAGTTATGATTACTACTCTCTTTAGTTCATCATAATTTCCTGATTTGTCTATTTAAAGTCGAATGGATTTCTTATGAAGTTGATATCCATCTTTGATGATGGGAGCATATCTATAATAAGCATACAAGATATTTAAAAGAAATAGAACAGACCTAACCGTCATACCATCCCATCCCGAAAAAGATCCAAAAGAAAGTCTAACTTCAAATTTCAACACCAAGATAAATTTATGTTCCTAAATCAGCCAAACTTACTGTAAGCACCCAATGAACAAATTTTCGCAGAAACGGGTACGTTATAAAACACCCTTTCAGATGGAATAACTAATTCATGTAGGAATTAAGTAACTACTGTAGAGAGAGTAACAATTGATCAATTACTTAATTGCCTATTTAAATACAAGTACAAGGTCTAACATCCAAGTGGCCTCTTGTTATAGGGCGAAGGGAGTAATCTCATGATCATAACAAATATCATCATGGAACTAATAATTACACAACTGTCTCATTTATTTTTAGAAAATTTTAACAAGCATGTTTTAAGCCATCTTTATAGGAACGATTGTTTCTGATTCATAACTCTAGATTCTTGAATAGGAGTTAAAATTTTACAAAATTCACAAGATCCACATTTGAGCAGAGCCAAGTGATGTTTGCTAACTGAAAGAGGCCAAAATCTTATGTGCAACCTCTCTCAAAAACATATTAAGTTTCTATGAAAGATGAAAGAATATGCACTACCTGTTTCAGATTGTTATGGTCTAGGCACAATGACTTCAGGTGAATGAGACTGCAAACCGAAGTAGGAAGTTCTTCAATGGAATTTTCTGAACCACAAAATAAAGAACCATGGAACTGAGAAAATGAAAGACATTTAAACATGGCAAACCCATAAAAATCAGCAAAATAGGTGGTAGAAAAGTATGCTTTACATGAACACTCAATTTGGAGTAGCATAGTGGCTGCAAATAGACACAGAATACAAAAAGTTGCATGATGCATGCAGTACAAACTCTCAGTCAAGTCATGTTTAATTTTTTGAGTGAATTTGGCATAAATGACCATAGGCATCAGAAGTGTATTCTGCATCACTTGAATTTGACATAATGAAATAAAAGCTCGAGCAAAAGCAGAAACAAAAATAAAGAATACCATTGGCTTGTAGCTCTTCCAAAGAAAAGCAACTCCCTGTAGATTCTGGAAGAGACTTTAGTTTATTATGCGAGACGTTTAGTAGCAATAACTGCATTTTTAGAAACTCAAATGAATTTAACGGTAAAAATATGCTATACAAGTGAACTACATTTCTAAAGAAAAATATAGGACATCATGAAAGCATTCCAACAGTACCTCTTCCCTAAATCTGCCTTAAATTACATTCCTAAAGAGAAATATGCCATACACCATAAAAGTAAACCACAGACAGGAAAGTTCGCTTTAAAAGACAAAGCCAGTTCTTTGTTGTCACAAATGAGATATGCAAGGGCACACACAAAGCAAACTAATGTTTACACTCAAGGGCACTAGATTGAAAAATATTATGATAGATAACAATTTATCCCAGAAGATAATAAAACAATACTTTGTTTATCTCTTTGACATACATGGAAACTGAAAACAATGAAGGTGATGTCACGTGAACAAGACCAGAGAAGTCTGTAATATTATCAGACACTAGATGAGTAGACCAAGTAAAACAACAAAAACTTATAAAAACTTTGTTGTCCTGAATAGATTGCATCAAAAGTAATATCCAAATAAGGAATGGGTTAATGAGATGCCAGATGCAGTAACTTACATTGCGCAAGCTTCCTATGGTTTCAGGCAGGCTGGTTAACAGGTTGTCAGAGATAGATAACCGCTCAAGTCTCACCAATTGGCCCACTGAACAACATAAAGCATTATATAACAACAAAAATTCTTAATAATGTTAACAGATAAGGCATGACGAACTTGTCAAGTCTCTAACAGAAGAAATTAGAATGAAAAATAAATAAATAAATAAATGACAAGCTTGATTATGGAACCATTTGGCTATGATACTACTACTTAGAGAAGAAGAAAAATACCTTCATCAGGTAAGGTAGTAAGTCTATTCCCATCGAGTATGATAAATTTTAAAGACTGAAGTTTCCCGATGTTCGTTGGCAGACGTTCAATTACATTATTTGACAAAATCTGAACAGAATGTGCCACCATGTCACATAATAAAATCTTTAAGATCAGAAAGAACTATACCAGCCACTTTTTGCAAAACCCAAATTATAAACTACCATTTAGAAGAACACAGATATGATATGTTCTAAAAAATACAGACATAACAATGCAACTGTTCAGTTTATACCAGCCTCTGCATATTTATTAGTTTGCTGATCTCCTCTGGGACGTCAACTGCAGTAGCCAAAAGGCAGAAATGATTAGGACAGATCTAGACTCTAGAACATCTCTCACACGTGATTAGAGAGAAAGAATGGAGTAAACAAAATAAAAATTACAAAAATATTTCATTGTCAAAGAGACACCAACTGTGATTATAATCTGCTACAACAATTATAGCAGTTATAAATGTGTGTTCTAAGCTTGTAGATTGGGACCGGAACTCTTCCATAATCATTCATGCATCTTCTTTATCGCAAGGTGGTCCAACAAATTTTGTAACCAAATCCTATTTATGCTAGAACAATCCTAAATTCTATGAATTGATACACATGAAACGAACATAATTGTCTTTCAAATACGTTATAGGCGGACAACTACCCCACTCTCCAACCTCCAAAATAACTACATAAACTTGCAAAAAAAGTTCATTTTCATATAATTTCTATGACACGTTTGCATCAACACATCCCTTTTCTGTTTCACTTCCTTGGTTTGGCTTCTCAAGTAAAACAAAGTTACATTTCAATACCCTTACATGTCTCATTTTTAATAAGTACACATAAAACACAAATTTGCCATTTTTAATAAAATTTAGCAAGTGTTTAAGAATGCAAAGAGTGGAAGAGCTTGGGTTCATCCTCTCCTCAAAATTTCTTCCCCCTATATTGCTTTCACCTTCTGCAAATCTCAAAATGAAACATGTCCCTCTTCCAACATAGTAAGCATACTTTTCTTAACCTTTTTTATTACTGCAAAAGTAAAAACTACTTTCTCTAGAAAAGAGACATGAGAAACAAAATGTGTCAAATTAATGCACGCCATCTAGAAATTAAATGATATGCCCTAAACGAGATAATTACCTAATTTGTTGTGTGTCAGATCAAGTGTCCGCACAGATTTGTCCAGCTCTAGAACTTCATCTGGAAATGACTGTTTCACCAATCACACCAAGTCAATGCATTAAATTTTTTACCTTATGGTTCAATTCTGTGAAGCAGTGTTCCAAATCATAATCAGTAAACCTCAAATCAAGACAGACAAGCAAAAGAGTAATACTTGAACAATTCGAAATCCCAAACAAACTAGCTACAAACAATGGGTGATTAATTTATCCATGCACCTCAATTTTCACGCCAATGTTCATTATATTTAATTTGTGCGGTTAAGGATAATGAAACCACACCCTGGTTCTTATTCAGGGCAAGCTTTTTCCTCTCAATCAACATTTTGCATCTTCCTGTTGCCTTTGACACTTGGGCAACTTAAACATGTGACACTACCTAATCTAAAAATTGCAAGCCAATAATTCCACTCAAGCCATATAATTGAAGAAGTTGATCCAGTTCATTGTATGCCTTTATGGAAACAAATCACTACTTCAACCAGAGGAAATTGCAAAAATCAAAGCTAAAGCAGAGGAAAGTTGAAGGAATGTTATGCTTGAGTCTCAAAAGATGGAGAGATCAGCCATATCAGTAAAAGTGAACTCTCAGAAGAAGTCGACCGATCAATCCAAACAACTAGGTCTCCGGTGCCCAAATTGTAAGAAGCCAAGACACTCTAGGGAAAAATGCTAGTAGTTGAATGGCAAACCACGAAGCTGAGAGTGGGGAAATAGAGGAGGGCAGTTGATATCTCAAGCACACATTGCAGAACAACCTAAAATAGAAGACAGTTCAATTACAGAAGGCTCTGACAGTGAAGAAAATTGAGATTGGAAAGTATTCTAGGATCCTATGAGGCCACAAGAAGACTTTAGGAACATGTTCATTGACTCTTTCCAGTAAACTTTACATTCCTATCTGCATGAATGTCTCCGGTAACATTAATCACACCTCTTTGATCATTGACTCAGGTGCCACTGACCTATGACACCAACAACCCAACTATTCCTACCTATACACCATGTCCAAGTACCAGGAGAATAGAGGCAGCGAATGGATCTTTGGCTGATGTTGCAGGGATTGGAAAAGATACGTATCCCCTCCTCCCCTTAAAAAGAAACAAAATAACTAACTTTCTAGCCACTTTCCATAGTTACCCTTTTATCCCTTCTAGAATAAACTTTCCACTCTACTGGTTTATTCATATTGGACTGCATGACTTTTGATTTCGTAACAGGATCTTTGGCTGATGTTGCAGGGATTGGAGATATATCTATCAAACCTAGCCTCATTCTAAAAGGTGTTCTCCATGAACCTAAATTATCAACAAACCTCATATCCATTCAAAAGCTTACTGATGACCTTGAATGAATATGTTATTTTCTCTTCTTCTCAACGCGTTTTTCAGGACTGAAGGAGGAGAACTGGACTTGGTAAGGAAAGAAACGGTCTTTACCATCTTGAATCACTTTAGGAAGTAGCAACTTTTTGTCTTCATCATTTCTTAGTAACTCAAATGAAGATGCCATTTGGCTACAACATCATCATCTTGGTCATCCGGGTTTCAGGGTGTTAAAAGTAATGTTTCATCAGTTATTCAAGGTGTAGATATTTTAGAGTGTCATTTTGATGTTTGTGAGTTTGCAAAACATACTAATGCATTAACACAAATACGGCACTAAGAAGTGGTAATACAAAAGTGTGCAACAATAAAAACATCGTGTACCTTTTTCTATCAGGAATAAAAGAAGTCTTATCAACCATTCTATTTAATTCCCAGTGACATATGTGGTTCTTTCACTATTATACCTAGGGGGCACGTTGGCTTTCATCCTTGATGATTATACTTGTGTTATATGGCTCTTTCTCCTTTTCAAAAATCTTAAGTCAACATTGTTGTATACTCGTACACTATTGCTACTCGATGATTCAAAACCAATATGGGGAGAAGATAAAAAGGTTTAGGATAGACAATGTAGAGACTTCTTCAATGCGCATGATTCATCATGCGTTAATGCACCACAACGAAACGCGGTAGTTGAGAGGAAAAATGGCCACCTACTCAATACCACCCGAACCTTACTGTGTCAAGGGAATGTTCAACAATTATTGGGGACAGGCCACCCTTAACACCACATACTTGATCAATAGGATTCCTTCACAAGTGCTTCCTTATATAGCACCAAATTCTGTTAAGTTACCAAATTTTGCAGATAATTTTGTCCGAGTGCTCAAGTGTATTAAAGAAGAAGGGTTGTTCCGGAGCTGCAACAACTCCAAGTTGCAGAAATAAATATGGTAAGAATTTTGTTGTCTTTAGCAACTAACTTTGACAGGCAGTTACTTCAGTATGATGTTAAAAACTGCATTTCTTCATGGAGACCTAGATGGAGAGATTTACAAAAACATCCCACAATTTTGAAGAAGATATACACAATGAAGTTCGCAAGCTAAGAAAGACCGAGTATGAGTTAAAACAATCCCTAAGAACTTGGTTTGAGAGATATGCAAAAGTTATAAGAAGGAGGTCGGATACAAACAAAGCCAAGGGAATAATATTCACTTCAGTAAACACTCAAGTTCAGGGGAAGTAAGTGCATTTCTGGTCTAAGTAGATCAAACCATAGTGACCGGTAATAATGAGTTAATGATTAAAAGAATAAAGTGAAGAAAAGACCAATACAAGAGTTTGAGATAAAATAACTCCGGAAAGTTGAAGTACTTCTTGGTAGTGAGGTGGCATACTCCACATAAAGAATCTATTTATCTCAGCCAAAAAATGTGACAGATTAATTGGTAGAAACAAGAAAAAGCGTTGCAAATCATTTGCTACTCGTATGGATCCAAGCCATAAACTAGACAGGACTAAAAAAGAAACAAGTGCTCATAGTAGAATATACGAAAGACTAGTTGGAAGAGCTTATATATCTTGTTCTTCTCGGCTGTATATTGCCTACTCGTGAGTCTAAGCAGCATATTAATGCATAGCCCAAGAGAACATCTCCAAGCTGCTTACAGGATTACATTGCTTGAAAGGAAATCCAACAAAAGGAATTTTCTTCAAGAGAAATAAAGCTCTTCATCTACAATTCTACACTGATGCAAATGCAGGATCTCTAGTGGATTTGCAGTCAACTACAAAGTATTGCACTTTCCTGGTAACTTGGAGATAAAAAAAGCAGATCTTGGAAAGATCACCTACAAAATCAAAATTCAAGGCTATTGTGCAAAGTTTATGAGAGCTATTTTGGATGAAGATTATTTTAGATGATTTTGGATCAAATGGAAGGTCCTGTTAAGCTTTATTGTGACAATAAATTTTAGCTATGACTATTTCTCATAGTCCTATACAACATGAATGGAAAAAGCACATTGAAATTGATAGAGATTTCATCAAGAAGATCTCAGAGAAGGGGTTGGTATGTATGTTCTACGTTCCATTAGATAGCCAAGTTTGAAATTTCATGATCTTGTAGACCAAATGGGAATGAAGGATATCTATTCGTCAGCTTGAGGGGGAGTGTTGAAGATTAGAAAAATATATTGTAAATAACACTATAACAGTAGTACAAATGAAGAACTCCAAGAGTAACAAAGAAGGTTACCAGAGAGAGTAGAGGTCAAACTAGAGACACTTAGTTGTGGAATTAAGAAGCACAAAGAAGTTACTATAGAGAAGGGATGCCACAAACTCTTACATGCTTATAAGAGTGTAAAGAACAAATACAGAAGTATAAACAAGCCTTAGGATCACTAAGAGAGGTTAATGGTAAGACATGTGAAAAACATGGCAGAAAATTAAAAAAGAAAAAGGGAAAAGGGAAGGGAAATTAAAATTGGGTACACAAGTCGGATGAAATGATGAGAACTGAAGACTTCTAGCCAAAGATGTATTAGAGAACGATGGATTTTTTTCAATAAGTTTTTATGGAAATGGAGAAAGAAATGTGGGAACTTGATGAATCCATTGATTAAGCACATAAAAGATTTATACACAGAACAGATTGTTAAAGATGACTAAAACGTTAGAAAAGCAAATTCATTTAGTTTTGAGGTGTTCCTTAAAAACAAATAAACTCATGGAGAGCACCAATGCTCTTGACGAATCCATTGATTAAGCAAATAAAAGATCTATACATAGAACAAATTGTTAAAGATGACTAAAACGTTAGAAGAGCAAATTCATTTAGTTGTGAGGTGTTCTCTAAAAAAGAGTAAATTCATGAAGACCATCAATGTTACCACAACCTCATGACTGAGAGGAAAGCTGCCACAATGTATGTGAATGCGATCAAAGATAAGTATGACCGCATAGTAATGAAAGTAAAAGCATGCAGGATGAGACAAACGTTTTCCTTACTACTGTAGAGCTATACTAACTATTTTGTTGTTGAATTAAAAAAACCTATAATTACCAGTACAATGGAAATTTCAACAACTTCCACTTTGCTGAGTACCATATTAATTGCAAAACTTACATATTTGAGGAACATTCAAATTTAACTTCCCCATTATACATATCAACTGATTTAGCTGGCAAGATGGTCCAATTTCTTATAGACACTTTGACAACCAGTGCAGCTTTGACTGAGCAGTGTTAAAATTCCCTTTCTATTTTTTCCGTTCACTTTATCCAATTCGTATATGTTATTGTGATGACATATAAACTGCCTAGTGCCTACTTTCGTTCATGGTGAAAGATGTGTTGCTTGGATTATTGCTTTAGATTGACAAAAACTTCAATTAATCACACAAAAATAAAATGAAAACAAACAAATCTAGCTTTCCTACACAACTTCATATAATTCTTATCAACACAATAGTTTCAATTTAGAAGATCATCTGCAAAATCTGAACACACAAAGAAACAAAATACATAAAAAGTCAAAATATGTAAAGAGAAAGTGTATATGCCTTCAATTTTCCGTCGCGTAACGCTACAATGCCAGTGGCGCGCCATCTAGACAGACGGCTGGCTTTGGAATCAGCATTTTTGCTGGCAAAACATCCCATTCTCCGCCGTCTGAGTAATCTCCTTGGAGAGGGCTTGAGAATTTCTCCGGTGGGACTTTAATCGCAAAGAGAACTTAAAGAAATTTATAGTTTCAAGAAGGTGGAGTCGTTTGAAGTGGTTGGAAGAAGAAGAAGACGACGACCACTATGCGATGATGACGAAAATGGCGAAGACTTTTGGATCGGGTTGGGTTTTGCCCTGATGATACGGCGCGCACCGTATTAACATGGTCTACACTCTACAGCGCCAAAATGACGCAAATAGGCAACCAAAGCTTTTTATTCCGTTTTTAGTGTCAACGCGATCGCAGCATATCTCATCTAATTTTTTGCAATAAAAAATAAAATTATGTAAAAAATTATATTTAATTTTGACAAATTATTTATTTTAAAGGCTTTAATATTTAATTATTAGAGTAAGGGATCGTTTACCAGACGCTTACCCCGTGATAAGACATATGTTTGAAGGAAATCTTCTATTACAACTAACATGATTGCTTTTGGTTATGCTAGAAGTATGCTTCATGATCAAAGCAAAACCAATCTATGAAAAGCTTTTTACTCCGAAAATTATGTCAATTCTAATATATATATATATATATATATATATATATATATATATATATATATATTAATTTATTTATACGCAACCAGAATTATGCCCTCCGGACTACCGCATATAGACATGCACAACGCCTAGGCTTTCGAACTCGTATTCAATGAAAAATAAAAAAGGCTTCGGTCGTATCGGACTTGGCTTTGGGGTGGAAAAAGGGTACAATCTGGCTTTTCCAGGTTGGTCCTAGGCTAGGCCTGCCGTGAATACAGCATGATTGGGCTTTGAGGTCTAGCCTAGACATTTGTTCGGGCTCACTAGTCCTGGACTTACGTTTTTTCTTTTCTATATGTGATTGTGTACATGTTACATGAGATTCGTCTTGCAGCACTCTGCAACCATGTCATCATAATTTTGTTTTCATTTTCGACCTTTTTAATAATACTATATTAATATAGTAAAAACTCAAGGCATCTTATACATATGCAGTGATATTTGCTTCAAAATGGCATAAAGATTTTCTAGCTCTTTTTAAGCTCACGAGTACCATTTCCCCTTCTTTTATAGCATGCGAGGGGGTTCATATGCTAAATGAAATGAAACCAAAAGTAACCCAAAATCATAGTTGTACCTCATTTGATTCAACTTCGACTTGTTTAAGAGCCATTGCAGAACGGTTATGGCTGGCAAGATGATATGTGAAGGCCATGAGGCTATTACAAACCACATTGCACACTTTACAACTTATTAATGCTTTCACTTCTTCCATCATCATCTTCTGCTTCTTCCTATCTCGATCMTCCTCCTCATCATCATCATCACCTTCCTAATTTGCCTTCCTTTTACACCTCTCATTTTCATTAATCCTTCAGACCTGACTCCAAACATTTCTTCAAATTTTTTTATGTTCTTTTTGTATTTCTTTCACGAAATGTGTTTGTTGAGCTCATCATAATAATTGCAACAAATCCCACAAGTTCACACCTTATGGACTTATTTTCCTCTGATTCTGGAATTCCACATTTTGTGGCGTGGCTAGAGAACCAATAGGGAGGGTCAAGACTAAATCTGGTATTTTCTCAGATCTTTCAAGGTTTTTCACATGCTTCTTCCTCAATTCATAACTAATCAAGACGATATTGTTACAAACCACCTTATAAAGTTCCCCTGAAGGGATAGTTTCACCCTTGGTTGAATTTGCATGTTCGAAAAGGTCCAAATTTAAAAAGAGATAGTAAATTTGGACCTTTTCGAACATGCAAATTCAACCAAGGGTGAAACTGTCCATTCAAAGAAACTTTGTAAGGTGTGTTGGAACAATATCGTCCTGAGTAGTCATGAATCGAAGAAGAAGCATATGAAAAACCTTGAAAGACCTGAGAAAATACCAGATTTAGTCTCGACCCTCCCTATTGGTTCTCTAGCCACACCACAAAATGTGGAATTCCAGAATCAAAGGAAAATAAGTCCATAAGGTGTGAACTTTGTGGGATTTGTTGCAATTATTATGATAAGCTCAACAAACACATTTCATGATAGAAACATAAAAAGACAATATAGAAATTTGAAGAAATGTTTGGAGTTAGGTTTGAAGGATTAATGGAAAATGAAATGTGTAAAAGGAAGGCAACTAAGGAGAGTGATGATGACGACGATGAGGAGGATCAAGATAGGAAGAAGCAGAAGATGATGATGGAAGAAAAGAAAGCATTAATAAGTTGTAAAGTGTGCAATGTGGTTTGTAATAGCCTCATGGCCTTCACATATCATCTTGTCAGCCATAAACCGTTATGAAATGGCTTTTGAACAAGTCAAAGTCGAAGTTGAATCAAAGGAGGTGCAACTACGATTTTGGGTTACTTTTGGTTTCATTTCATTTAGCATATGAACCCCCTCGCATGCTATAAAAGAAGGGGAAGTTGTACTCGTGAGCTTAAAAAAGTTAGAAAATCTTTATGCCATTTTGAAGCAAATATCACTGCATATGTATAAGATGCCTTGAGTTTTTACTATATTAATATGGTATTATTAAAAAGATCAAAAAGGAAAACAAAATTATGACGACATGGCTGCAGAGTGCTACAAGACGAATCCCATGTAACATGTACACGATCAGATATAGAAAAGAAAAAGCCTAAGTCCAGAACTAGTGAGCCCGAACAAATGTCTAGGCTAGACCTTAAAGCCAATCATGCTGAATTCACGGCAGGCCTAGCCTAGGACCAACCTGAGAAAGCCAGATTGTACCATTTTTCAACCCCAAAGCCAAGCCCGACACGACCCAAGCCTTTTTTTGATTGTTCATTGAATACGGGTTCGAAAACCTAGGCGATGTGCATCTCTATATGCGGAAATCCGAAAGGTGGAACCATGGCCGCATATAAATTAATATATATATATATATATATATATATATATATATATTAGAATTGACATAATTTTCGGAATTAAAAGCTTTTCATAGATTGGTTTTTGGTTTTGATCATAAAGAATGCTTCTAGCATAACCAAAAGCAATCACGTTAGTTGTAATGGAACATTTCCATCAAACTAATGTCTCGTCACATTTAATACTACATTTCAAAGTGTATAAATACATCAATCAATATAAAAACCTAAGAGTATGAGAACTGTCATATCATCTTTCTTAATCGAAAAAATTATATGCATTTTTAAAACAACTAATTGATTTGATTGTCAGAGTTTGTTCTCGAGATCATGGCTCTACCGAGCTTTCTCCTTGAAATCCATCTCCACCGAATCTCATCCTTCGATATTACGGTATTATTGTAACAAGGGTAAGCCTTATTCAAAACACACATATATTTTCAAAACGATATGTAAATTTATGCTTGAAAAACAAAAGATTGTTAGAAGTTTTGAATATTCAAAGATTTCAACACTTCAATTACCTTAAAAACGACTAATGTATATAAAGAGCATACGTATAAGGTAATTGTCTAATGTATATATTACTAAAAATTCACCAATCATATTAAACCAAAGAAATAAAAAGATATCGGACTATCGGTTTGGGTTGGGTTCAAATAATAGTAACCTAATATCAACTCAATGCCTACGGTTTAAAAATTTTAAAACTCCATTACAATCGGTGATAAAGATTTCAAAATCAGTAATCGATGAAGATGTGATAAAGAATTGATACCATTACTAACATAGATTTTAGCCCAATACTATTCTCTACCGAATGCGATAACTTCTTATTTTTGAATGCCGATACCACTTCCGACTTTGATTTTGCCCTAATACTTTCCTATACCTAATTAATGAAGAAAATGTTTATCAAACGTGATAAATATGACGGTGAACTAGACCAATCCATATCGATTCAAAGCAATAGGGTTTGATCGTTATCGATCACAACCAGTGTGTGTATATATATTCAAACCGATAGGGTTTGATCGTTATCGATCACAACCAGTGTGTGTATATATATTCAAACCGATAGGGTTTGATCGTTATCGATCACAACCAGTGTGTCGATAGGGTTTGATCGTTGTGCGAGAGAGAGTATTGTTGAAGGAAAAGGGGGGGTTCGATTAGTGAGTCATGAGCGGCTACAAGAGGAGGGGTTAAAAGGGTGGGAAGAATGAGTGGTAGCCGATCGATTGTTTAAAGCTGAAATGGAAAAGGGAGGGTCGAGGGAGGGCGAGGGGTGATTGTTTAAGAGATGAAACTGATTTGGGTTTGAAGCCCACCGATTAGAATTTTAAGGATTTATACTAGTCTAAATTACACTTTTGGTCCTTGTAGTTAGTAACCGTCCCTCTTTTAATTATAATTACAGTTTTGGTCCTTTTGATTGTTATTTTATTTTATTTTTTATCCTTCAAACTAACTTTTGTAACTAGGTCCATTACCTAACTTCTCCGGTGATTTATTCACCACCCGTTATCGAAGCTTCTGCCTTGCAACTCTACATTGAAGCCAAGGTCGAACCCAACTTGCTCCAACATCGAATCTTAATTGAAGCCCACTCTACACAGAGGCCACCAGTCGAATTGTCTTCGTCCCTGTCTCCTCCACACCATCCCCTTTGTGTCGAATAACCATCAACGGTCCCCTTTGCCGCCCTTCTCCGTGCGGTCCATCTCTGACGAATACACACACAGTGATAGGCACCTTCCTCTCCCAATATAATCAAAACCACTCCAATAGACGTGGATTCTTATTTATTTTTTCGTATGAAAAATCAGTTTGTTTAAGTTTTTGATTTTAGGATTTGAATTAGAGTCGTACCATAATTTTTTTTATTGAACTGGTATATCTTATTGTTAACCTTCATGCATTCTGTGTGTATATTGGTTTTACAACGGCAATTTCATCCTAAAAAAAGTTTCTGGTTTCAAATATAGCTTTTGTTGGAAGATTGGCCTTCATTAGGTTTTTCTTCCCTAAAGTTGACCAAGAACAAGAACAATTTTGATTTCAGTTTCTTCTTTTCACGGGCCAACAAAGAACATAAACAACTTTTTTGTTTCGTTGGATTTGATTTTTGTTCATCAACATATGTTTTTTACCGGAGAAAAATGCAATGCCAATAACAGGAAAGAGAGACGAGAGACGAGAGATAATTTTTTTTTATATTATTGTTATATAATATAATATACTTTTTTAAATATTGAATGTTATATAACATAAATATAGTATATTTCTTAGAATTTTAATAAAAA